CTCTGAGGGCGCCGCCAATGGCCGCTCAGAAACGCTCTCACGTGGCCTTTGGGGGGGGGGGGGGGGGGAGCTGTTTGAGAAGACCACTTCACTGCCGGTATTGTGGCCGAGCCAAATCCGAAAAAAAAAAACCGAAACCACGAACGATGGTTACTGCCGGCGCTTCCGCAAGCACATCAAGCACCACTGAAGGAAAAGTGAGTAGCATATCGGAAAAAGAATCCAGCGATGTTCGAAGACGCAATTCGGGATGATGGTAATTCGCGTCTGTTTTAGTCATAATTAAGAAATAACACCTTGAGACAAAGAAACAAAAAGGGACGTACACAGTACCGTCTCAAAACCAGCACAGCGTACAGCTGTCATTTACTTCCACAACAGTCTTCTTCCTTGTCAACCTCCATCCAAATTATAATATTCAACAGTAATTAAAGTAAATGGCAGTAAATGAGAATTCAACAACTAGTAAATGACAATTTAAGAGTAAATTAAGTAAATGGAAGTAAATGACAGCTGTATGCTGTGCTGGTTTTAAGACGGTGGTGTGTATGTCCCTTTTTGTTTCCTTGTCTTAAGTTTTTATTTTTTTAATTATGATTGTTCACCAGCTCGACTGCGTTTTGACTCTACCCTTGTTACACGGGCACACTTAACTGCAGTTACGCTAAACCACAATTAGCGCACAATACTTGCCGACAACATTCTGCGGCGATGCAGTCAGAGCTATGGACGAACGTGCGCTTGAGCATCTTGAGCACCCATCAAAGCAGTGCACACGCTCTCTTCACTTCTTTTGAAATAGCTGTCCGAGGGTATAGTGCGGCATCTGTGCTGCCACGTAACCGCAGTTAAAGCTGAGTTAACCACGGTTAATACCCTTGTTACACGGGCACACTTAACTGCAGTTACGCTAAACCACAATTAGCGCACAATACTTGCCGACAACATTCTTTGGCTATGCAGTCAGAGCAATGGGCGAACGTGCACTTGAGCATCTTGAGCACCCATCAAAGCAGTGCACGCGCTCTCTTCACTTCTTTTGAAATAGCTGTCCGAGGCTATAGTGCGGCATCTGTGCTGCCACGTAAACGCAGTTAAAGCTGAGTTAACCGCGGTTAAGTGTGCCCGTGTAACAGGGGTTGTAAGTGTGCCCGTGTAACAGGGGTACAAGTGCACCCTTGTACCCCTGTTACAGGGGTACAAGGGCACCCTCAGCTTTAATAGGTTGGCGCATGTTGCAAACAAATACTTTCCCCCACCTCAGCCTCTTACATGCCATGTACCCTACAGTATACCCCACAAACAAATGTCCCCTGTGCACCGAAAAGGCTTCACTATATCACATCACGTGGGCATGCCCTAAGATTCAGGCTGCCCCCCCAGTTCCCAACCCAAACGCCGAGCAGTGGGAAGCTGCGCTGTCCAGCTGGGATCCGGACGACCAGCGTAATCTGGTCTCGCGGGCCCGTGCCGCAGCGACAGCTACAGGGGCCCTGGAATGAGGGCTCCTCTCGCCTCGGAAGAGCCAAGCGAATTGTTTATTAAAAGTTTTTTCTCTCTCTCAGCTTTAACTGCTGTTACGTGGCACCGCGGTGACCGCACTATACTCTCGGACAGCTATTTAAGAAGTGAAGAGCGCGCGTGCACTGCTTCGATGGGTGCTCAAGATGCTCAAGCGCACGTTCGCCCACAGCTTTGACTGCATAGCCGCAGAATGTTGTCCGCAAGTATTGTGCGCTAACTGTGGCTTAGCTTAACTAGTGCGCCCGTGTAACAAGGGTATTAGGATGGGGCGGGAGATAGAGAACACGACGCTGAACGGCTAATGGTGATGATGATTATGTTGGCGTTTAACTGAAGCGCCACTTTATGGTCAACACCCAAACTATTTTCGCGAGTCTGAACGTCATCGTTGTTGCACGTGAAACGGTACGTGTGAACGAGCACATTTCGCGAAACTTGAGTGTTGCGAAACTGTTGCGCGCCTAAAAGATGCATCGTGTGAACAGACCTTAACTGTATAGGCTCTGCTTACAGAACCAGACGTGTTCCTTTTTCTTTTGCCGCCAACACGGTATTGGCTGAGAAGCGGTCATGTGCACAGGGCTTCTGTGGGAAAGCGACCTTGCAGTCGCCGAGTTTCGGTCGGATCGTTTTTCTCGCTTTGCGTTTGCGAAATATACATTCTACACTAAAATAGAACAAACTGTAAGGTTGCTTAACAATTCAACATCACGTGTAGCCACTCGATAAAGTAAAATCGCGTTGTTTCATAACGCGAGCAATGTTTAAAAACATGCTGTGAAAGACAAGGAAGAAGGCGACAAAGGTGACGTTTGCGAAGCTCGCGCATCCGGGGCTCTCGAGCTACGGTAGCTTCCCGCAGTAGAGTAAAGCCCGGTTCACACAGTTGCGTTTGACTGCGTTTGACTGCGTTGCGGCAGCGAGACTCCAGGACATCCCTGCTGCTTATATCGCGTGCCAAGAAGATTCTTTGAACTGGATTCCACACTTCATACGAAGCACAGATGTGCCGGTGACTCGCTTTCGGTTCTCGCCGCAACGCAGTCAAACGCACTCAAACGCAAGTGTCTGAACCGGCCTTCATGCCCGTGCCACACGGGTAGAGTGTACTAGAAGGTACGGGTGGGACGAGCTATTAGCCCCGTGCGCGACCAAAAGCGTCGCTGTGGTCGGCCTTCCACGATTGGCCGAACGCTGACTATGACGTAGGAAAGGGGATTTATCATCGACGGAAATAAGAGGAATGAAAGAACTTTAATTTTGACGGTGTTGGCAGTGTTGCTTCAAGAGCTCAATGATTTCAAGCTTCCACCATGCTATTTACAAACACCATCGAACTTGTTGTTTGCAAGGTAATGACGTCACAAGGGAGAACCATAGGAGGGCGCCACCAAAACATCTCGCCGCTAATAGGCTCCGCTCATGCATTCAGCTGCACCTCAAAATGCGGAAAGCAATCAGGGGGAATTAAGCCACTTTGATCGCAGCGCCATCATTGCTGCGATCAACCAACGACAGAGGTCAAGGTCATATGGGCAATATAGCCCCTTAGGGGCTATATTGCCCATATGCCAATATACTGTTCTAAGGCCGTCGTGACATCGCGTCACGTCGAGGACGACGCCGTTCCGCGATATCAAGCCACCGTTGTAACGCGGTGATGACGGCGCGAGCCACATCGAGGATGACGTGGACGGGGTCGTCCATGCCGACGTTAACGTCGACGCCCCACGCAACATCAAACATGGTTGTGACGTCACGTTAACGTCGTCCTGACGTCATCGTGAACATCAACGTTACGACGAAACCTTGATTGCGTGTAACGTCGTCGCCTTCGCCAGCATCAACATCGATACGCAGTCACGACGAAGTCTTGACGTCGTGTAACATCCTCGACGATGACGATGACGTCGTGAAGCTGTCGGGACGTCTTCGTGACGTCGAGTTGCATCATGTCCACAACGACGTCAACGAACTGACACTAAGCGTCCTCATGACGTTACATTGACAAGAACGCCGTCCTCTTGACGTCCCGTGACGTTGTCGTCGTCATCAACGTCAACATTGACATCATCATCGTTGTCAACGCAATATGACGTCAGAAAGCAGTCTCGGTGTCGTGTAACGCACGTTGTCAACGTCGATGACGAGGTCGACGTGAAGGCGTCGTCCTGATGTCGCATGGCGTTTTGACGACAAGTCAGGGAGCGGTGACTTTATGTACATGAAGCCTGACGTCTAGGTTGTATAAAAAACATACTCCGGCAATCTATCGTTTCTATGACATTGACCAGTGTGCCGGTAGCGCTTGGCGTTGAAACGAAACGCGTTTTTTCATAAAAAGCGGCTAATCCGAACCACTTTGCTCCTAACGCCCGAGAGGGTGCTACGAGCGAAGCGGCTTGGATTAGCCGTTTTTGTCCACATTTCGAGGTACCAAAATAGCACCCCGGTGGCCCCACACGTCCTTTCTAGTATACTTTAATACCTGTGCCACACGGGCAACTCGAATGCCATTTACAACGAATGACATTTGAGCGGACGGCCAATCAGCACGCGACACTCCGGTCGCAGCGCATTTCACGCGCGACAGATTGCGAGCTGATTCGCCGATCACGCAAATGTCATTTGTTGTACATGGCATTCGAGTTTCCCGTGTGGCACGGGTATTACACCTGTGCCACACGGGTATAATAAACAGGGCGCGGTTGAAAACTTAGTTCTCAACTGTGCCCTGTTTGAGTTACACTTGAAAAAGCGCCGATGCCGTGTACACATTTCGTCGTTCACAGCACATGAGTACCGTAACGTGAGCCAGGACGTCGGTGCAAGATTCCTTCCCCATTTATTAAGAGCCCATAAAACATAAAACAAAGAAAGATTATTTTGTTACACGCTGCAAAAGTTTAACTGCCCGGGGGGCCAACGAGTGATATTACACAAGCATGATTACTTTGTTCTTTAAAAAAACCTGGTTAGTTCAATGCATCAAAAAGCAAGAACTTAGAAATAAAGCAGCCCTGGCAAATAATACGTAGAAAAGTCTCCAGCACTGAACAAATGTATTTCCCAATTAAAACGCAGGAAGCTTGTCTAACGTTGCCGGCCGTTGGTAACGCATGCAACAGCATTTATCGTACCAACGAAAGCGTCGCGTCGCCCGCAGGTCAAGAGTGGGATATGAGACAGCACAGTTGACGCCGACCGCAGACGCCTAAATTACACCTGCCGCGGTAGGCACAACACTAAGGAGAGCGCAACGTATTGCGAAAGCGCTGACGGCAGTGCCTGCATCACAGGTGACGTCACTGCCTTGACGCCAAGCGAGGGCGAAGATATCGACGTCATTGACGCTCTTGTTCTGGTCAGTTTCGGTTTGAAAGAGCCTGCGGGAATGAAATAATTTAGCCAGAAACGCGCGGAGAAATTGTTTTGGCTTTTACTTCCTTCCTTACTTTTCAGGTGCTTTTCTGCCTTCAAAGGGCACTTTTCAGGTTTTTTTTAATAGTACCAGCAGCATAAATTCTTTTCTCCAGAAGAACACGGAGCACCGGCAGGGAGGTAAAGTAGTTATCGAAAAACAATTTGTGCCCGATGCCATCAGGTATCCTTGCTGCTAAGTGCAAAACAAACGCACCTGTCTCACCAAACGTTTGTTTGTTTTCAGAACTCAGTTCTGTTGTGGAGCCCTGATAAACGATGAAATCATAAACGACTCCCGACGCGCCACACAACATGAATACCTTCACGCCCCAAGGGTTTGGTTTGCCTTTGACGTACTGCTTGACATCAAGCTTTCCTTTGAATGGAATTGTTTGTTCATCCACGCAAAGGTGTTCCTCCAAGGGAAGCTGACGGCACCTTTCTTGGAACGAATTCAGAAGGGGCCTCACTTTCCAGAGACGGTCATTGGCGTTGTGGTCGCCATTCACATTGACAATATGAAGGCAATTTCTGAGCTTCTCAAAGCGGTTTCTTGACATGCTCACAGATGACAAAAGTTCGGTCTTGAATGAAGGCTTCCAATACAAGCGCAACCGAGGATAGCGTATCACACCCACTGCCAAGTGAAGTGCAATGAGCCTTCTGATTTCTTCTTCATCTGTCAGCACTGATTTTCCATCATGGCAAATTGAGTACATATTTGTCTTATCGGCTAGCTCAGTGAACACGCTTTTGGGCACATACCTCGAGAAGTACTCATATGGCGTGAGAGGAGGTCCAAGATAGCCATCGTTCTCGTCAGAAACTGGCTGAAATTGAGTACATGGTTTTTCAAAAACTTTTCTGCACCAAGCCTCGGGGTCTCGGGCTCTCGTTTCATGCTGGTCATCCTCATCAGAAGAGTCGGAGAGTTCCTGCGGGTTGGCCCAGTCGTCATCCGCCACATCGACAACTGCACTGGCTTCATCTGTCTCGACTTCTTCATCATCAGCGTCGGATATGTCGCCATTTCCCAGCGCGGCAAACATTACATCAGGATCTTCGAGACGCGGCCTTCTTGGGCGTAATGATCTTCTGGCCGAGTAGAATACTCCAGGAGGTATTGTCCCACCTGAGCAAAAAATGATTAGGGCAAAAATAAAAATTACGGCTCCTATAAAAGAAAACAACAAGCACACAGTTGCAAAACCTCCGACAGAACCCTGTTACCCGTTGAGCCCTGGGGTGCTATGTTGCGCTTTTTGCACTCCCAGGAGACTTGGAAGAGGGAAGTGACGTCAACGACACAGCAAATGCAGATTGGATGTTGACAAAAGAAAACGAAATCAACATCCAATCTGCGTTTGCTGTGTCGTTGACGTCACTTCCCTCTCTCTAGTCTCCTGGGAGTGCAAAAAGCGCAACATAGCACCCCCGGCATCCTATTTATAGGACACATACAACGTGACGAGCCGCGGACATAATATTCACTCCAGAAGAACCCTTCTGCTACCACTACAGCCTTGAATATATTAGGAACAATGCACGAAATTCTCATCGCTAACACTCGAGCAGCTATTGAGTAAAAAATAACAAAACATGCGCTCACCTTCGTTGCCGCCGTTTTCACCATCCGCCATTTTGTTTGTGTACTACTGGAGCTTCGGGGAGAAGAAGGAAGAAGCAAATGATGTCCATGCCATTGGGGATGTTTTCGCCACAGGCTCAGTTCCTGTTTCGGTTTCTAGGCTGTTTAGATTTCATTTAATACTTAGCTTTCTTCATGTCCTTTTTATAGGACACCAGGGCCAAAGGGTTAAAGCGGATCCCTAACGTTAATGACCTATGAAACACGCGTTTGTTTTTCACCCCGCGCAATAGAAGTCCCAGAAAAAAAATTAACAAAAACGAGCAGCGTTCACCCCCTCAAATCGCAGCCAGAACAAGCGGCCACGTGATCTGGAGCCGATTATATGCCGCCAGTGTTGATCATAGCCACGCGCTGGGGTTGGCAAAGCGCAGGACACGCGCTGAGTTCCAGACATTGTTATGGCTCGGCTGTTGTCGTCGTTGCAGCGATTGGACACGGGTCACAAACCAAATGCTTCTCGAGCTAGCAATTGTCACGAGCCCAAGTTGAGTGCCCACGCAATGCTCGGGTCCAATCTATGAACCGCATTCAGATATCGTCACTTGGGTGTACTGCGATCCCTGAGTTACGTCATCAAATTTTGCAAAGGAGAAATTGAAAGAAAATGATCGCTTTTGTCCTTGAAATTACACCGCAACAATGGAGTTTCTTGTCCAATGGCGTTGCGTGTGAGTATCCTTGAGTCCCAGGTGTTCCAGTAAGCTCGTGTAAAGAGAAAAACATTCCAATTGAATATCGTTGCACAGCTTCTTTAAGCTGACGCAGTGTCAGCTTAGGGATGAACGGGTGGAAGCTACGTGTTTGTTGAAGCAGTCACACGTCTATCATTCGCCACGTAACCAAACTCTCGTTCATATCCAGGCGCAGAGAAAGGGACGGGACACGTGATTAAAAGAAGTTGTTTGATTGGTTCTGCTCTGTTCGCAGCTTCCACAGCACTGCCAGCTTAGGAATGAACGAAGTATATTGACGTCGTGATGAAGCGACGCCGTGATTATGTTGTGCTTCGAGCTCTTAAGCCGTTGCTTCTAGCGATGTCTACACGAAAGCTTCTCTCCTTCACCTTTCCAGCCTTCTTTTGTGTGTGTGTCCAGCTCTTGGTAGAAGGATTTGCCCTCAGGTAGTCGTCGATTATTTCATCTGATGCTCTTTCACAAAATTTCACCATGCAAAATAATTTTTATCCTCTTTCTTAAAGCTTGCAAGCGAATTTTTTTAAATTAGGACAAAGGTAATTTCAGAAGTAATGTGTAATTTCTTCTAAATTACTGTGCGAAAGTGTCGTGTACTGATCTGTGGTGGCATGCCGGCCGCGAGACAGTGCGACGGTCCACACGAGCGCCGGCCGCTGCGCGAGCAGGCCTTCTTCCGCGTGCCCCCATTCGGTTACGGCTACTCGATCTAGAGCACGTACACCAACGTACATCTACGAATAACCCTTGTTCCTCCGTGCCTGACGCACCCAACGCCTCGAGTGGACTACAATACACTGGCGACGAGGTAAACTTGAGGTCTCGGCAACGACAGCGCTCCACCGCAGCAAGTATGACTGCGTATGCACCCTTCGAAGAGTTTACACCAGATGACCCTGCGTCCTGGCCACGCTATAACGAGCGCCTGGAATTTTACTTCGTGGCGAACGATATCACCACGCCAGAGAAGAAACGAGCCGTTCTCTGCAGCGTCTGTGGCTCGGCCACATATGCTATCTTGCGCTCTCTCTGTTCGCCAAGAGCTCCAGTCGAAACACCATACAAGGACATCATACTCAAGCTTCATGAGCACTTCGCTCCCCTACCGCCGGTAATCTTCGCGCGATTCCAGTTTTTCAAGCGGGGCCAGCGTTCTGGGGAGTCTATGGCAGACTTCGTAGCAGATCTCCGACGTTTGTCGGAGCACTGCGAGTTCGGTGAGATGCTAGACGACATGCTTCGTGACCGCGTAGTTTGCGGCGTTCAAGACGACGCGTTGCAGCGACGTCTACTCGCCGAGCCGAACCTAACACTGTGCAAGACCCTAGACATGGCGAAGGCAGCGGAGCTAGCCAAATTCCAGACCATCGAAATCCGCACCTCTGCTAATCGATCTGCCTCTGCTCTGCTACGGCGGTATCAGAAACCTATCGCGTGTGGATCGACGCAACGTCAAGGTCGCCGCGTGGAAGCACCGCACCGCGCGTGTCAAGCTCTCCGCCTACCGAATCCAGCTGCACAGCTGAAACCATGGAGGGCAGCCTGAAGCCAGGTTCGCCAGGTACATGCTGGCGTTGCAATGGAGCGCATAACGCAAAAATCGTGCCGCTTCGTTGGGGCCGTGTGCCACTTCTGTAATAACAAGGGCCACATTGTCGCTGCGTGCCGCCAAAAGGAGAGAGCCGAACGTCGACGGTCAGCAATCCGCAACAACAGGCTGGAGACGGTGGACCCATTGAAGAGAGACTACTGTGTCTTCGCCGTGGAGCCACCCGTATTTTGCGATGTGATAATCAACGGCTGCAATCTGCGGATGGAAGTTGACTCCGGGTCGGCTTTTACGGTTGTCAAGCCGCGTGTGATGCGCCAGCTCCGCATTTCCAAAAGCAGCCTCAGGCCGTGCACCTTCCAGCTGCGCTCTTATACACGGCAGAGTCTTCGGATTCTCGGGAAAGCAGCAGCGGACGTTTCCTTCAAGGGCAAAAGCGTGGAATTGGAGCTTCTGGTTGTAAAGGGATTTGGCGTCAGTCTCTTAGGGCGCGACTGGTTCCGGTCCTTGGGCATTTCCCTGGAGCGTGTCAACCATGTCGACGCCTCGTTGCAGCATGTTCAGGCAGCCACAGTCCATAATGTGATGAGCGAATTTTCTGAGGTGTTCCAAGCAGGACTCGGGAGAAGCAAGGGGCCGCCGGTTCGTGTAGATATCGACCCCGCCGTGAGTCCCAAGTTCTTTAAGGCCCGCCAAGTGCCACTTCCGCTGCTGCCAAAAGTCGACGAGTCCATCGATAAACTGGTTGTGATGATGTGACTTGATGTGGAAAAGAAGTGCAAGTCAACCCATGGATCGGCCCAGAGGGAGAAAGGAAGACGAAGAAGAAGGGAAGATTTTTAGAGCGCGTGCTCGGAGCGCGTGAGGGAGACTGGCCGGGAGAACGTGCTGGGTCGGGACTCGGAACGACACCATCGACCAGGGCAATCGGGGTTCGCTCCTACTGTCTGACCGGTAGCCTGTTCCAGCGAGGGCAGCGCACAGAAACCTACGTTGCCCGGCTCCCTACTGCGCGAGCACTTGGTGCGCTCTTGGGTCATCGACGGAAGCCAACCGCTCCCGCTCCTGACTGCCTGCCACAACCGTCGGCCGACAACGACAGCCCCAGACACAACACCCGCTGCTGCGCATGGTGACTCTAAGACATGGTGACTGTTGCGTTTTCCTTCCTTCCATTTTTTAGAGCGCAGCTCTTAGGGGCCCGTTCCCGGCATGAGCGGCGTCGCCGTCGCCGTCGCCGTCGCCGTCGGCGTAACCAAGGTCATCCCAAGGTCACGTGACCCCCAAGGTCACGTGACCCCTCCCAAGGTCATCTCAAGGTCACGTGACCCCACGTGACTCCCAAGGTCACGTGACTCCCAAGGTCACGTGACCCCTCGAGGTCACGTGACCCCTCCCAAGGTCATCTCAAGGTCACGTGACCCCAAGACCCCACGTGACCCTTTGAAGGTCACGTGACCCCCAAGTCACGTGACCCCTCTGAGGTCACGTGACCCCCGAGGTCACGTGGTCTCCTCCCCAAGGTCACGTGACCCTCAAATTCACGTGACCCCCCCCCAAGGTCATCTCAAGGTCACGTGACCCCAAGGTGACCCCCAGGTCACGTGACCCCTCTGAGGTCACGTGACCCCTCTGAGGTCACGTGACCCCCCGAGGTCACGTGACCCCCCTCCCCGAAGTCACGTGACACCCCCCCCCCCCCCGAGGTCACGTGACCGCCCCCCCGGAGCATATTAAAGAATTAGGGGAGGAGGAGGGGTCTACCCTCCCCTAAGTACCCTTCACTCCTCCTCCTCAAGAGCTGCGCTCCAATTCGGCGTTACAGGGATTTGTAAACGGCTTTCATTTTTTTACTAAGTTTTCCTATTTCTTTTAGTATATTCATGTGAACTCTTTGATTTCTTTTGTAAATACATGTTTTAAGAAAAACGAAGGACATTGAATCTTGTCAATTATTAACCCGAAAGAACCTCACAACACTGGTGGAACAAGGAATATTTGAGCCTGTTCGTCACTCTTCCTGGGCAACCCCCGTCGTGCCAATTCTCAAGAAGAATGGGAACATCCGCCTATGCGGCGATTACAAGTGTACGGTAAACCGTGCCCTCCGGTGGGAAACATACCCCTTGCCTACGGCTGATCAGCTGTTTGCCAAACTGGCTGGCTGTCAGAAGTTCTCCCAGCTAGACTTGGAACAGGCATACCACCAGAAGGAAGTAGACAATCATACAGCAGATCTCCAAACGGTCAACACTCATCGAGGACTTTTCCGGGTCACACGTCTACAGTTCGGCGTTGCTAGAGCCATAGCAATCTTCCAACGCTACATGGAAGAATTGCTCGCCGGACTTGATGGTGTTCTGGTGTTCCTCGACGACATTGTGATTGGTGGTAGAAACAGTGAAGAACACGGAGCCCGCCTCCGGGCCGTGCTGAAGAGAATCAGTGACGACGGTCTCCGCCTGAACAAGGGCAAGTGCAAGTTCGGAGTGCCTCAAGTGACGTTCCTGGGGTACCAAGTTGACAGGGAAGGCATACATCCTACGGAAGACAAGGTTCTGGCCATCAAGAGCGCTCCCGAACCGGAAGACAAACAGCAATTGCAGTCTTTCCTTGGCCTCTTAAATTTCTATGGTCGGTTTCTGAAAGGGGCCGCTCATGTTTTGGAGCCTCTTCATCGGTTGCTGGACAACGGTGCTGCATGGAAATGGGGAAGGGAAGAAGCGATAGCTTTCCGACAAGCCAAAAGTCTATTACAGTCGTCCGCGGTTCTGGCACATTATGATGATGCCCTTCCCTTGGTATTGGCCGTGATGCTTCTTCGTATGGGTTAGGATTCGTCATGAGCCATGTCTCACCGTCGGGTCAAGAATCTCCAGTAGCGTTCGGGTCAAGGACCATGACACAAGCAGAACGAAACTACTCACAGACGGATCGTGAGGCTTTGGCTGTCATAGCGGGAGTGAACAAGTTTCATCAATTTCTGTACGGACGGCATTTCAAGATTTTTACGGACCACAAGCCCCTTCTGGGGTTGCTTCACCACAGCAACCCGATTCCCCAGGTCTTGTCACCACGTCTTTTGCGCTGGAGCCTGATGTTGGCGCAGTACGACTACGAGCTCATTTACCGACCTGGCCGGCAGATGGGAAATGCTGACCTTTTCAGCCGCCTTCCGCAGAAGGTTCAGGACTTCGAGGTACCTCCCCTTCATGACGTTTTGCCCATCGAGTCAACCCCAGATGTGCCTGTCGACTCAAAGAAGATAGCTTTCCTAACAAGGAAGGTTCGCGTTCTTGCCCTCGTGCTGCGTTGGATTCTGCATGGCTGGCCATCTGAGAAACCTTCCGAAGTTTTCAAGCCATACTACGATCGCCGTGACGAACTGTCTGTTTACAACAGCTGTATCTTGTGGGGCAGCCGTGTTATCGTACGACCGCTTCTTCGAGAAGTTCTGGACCTATTTCACAGTGGTCACCCTGGCGTGGTGAGGATGAAGTGCCTTTCAAGGGGCTATGTATGGTGGCCGGAACTTGACCAAGACATAGAGCGCCGAGTACGTTGCTGCTTTCCGTGCCAGGAGTCACGAAACGCGCCAGCCCGCGCACCCATCCACTCATGGGAATTCACAACAAGACCATGGTCGAGGCTACACGTTGATTTCGCGGGCCCGTTCCAGGGGGAGTTTTTCTTCATCGTAGTAGATTCGCACTCTAAGTGGTTGGAAGTTCAACGAGTCAAGTCCATGTCAGCTTCGACAGTGATCGCAGCTCTACGTACGCTGTTCGCAACGCATGGATTGCCTGATGTTTTGGTGTCCGACAACGGTACTGCTTTCACTTCAGTGGATTTTAAAGAGTTTCTTTCTTAGAAATGGCATTCGCCAAGTCCTTGCGGCACCATACCATCCCTCCTCGAACGGGCAAGCCGAAAGGATGGTTCAAGAGACCAAGAAATCACTGAAGAAAACCATTCGCGGCGACTGGTCAACCCATCTTGCCAGGTTTCTTTTCGACCAACATATCCTTCCCAGTACTTCCACTGGAAGGAGCCCCGCAGAGCTTCTTTTTGGACGGCAGATTCGGTCGGCCCTAGATCACCTACATCCAGATCAGCAGGCGGCAGTAACCGGCGCCAGGAAGAAGCCTTTGAGGCGAGCAATCGGCAAGGCGCTCGCCAATTTTAACCCGGAAGTCAAGTTTTTGCAATTAATTTTGGCACGAGCGGGAACCGCTGGTTGCCAGAAGTGCAACTTGAAGACGGTCGTGTGTGGCGGCGACACATAGATCATATTCGTACGCGGCATTGCAGCATGCCAAGTGACAGTCCAAGCCAGAGTTGCGAAGTCCAGATTCCTGATACAAGCTCCGCAACGTCAAGGCCGAATGCAGACCCGGACGTCCGTCTAGCAGCTGCTCCGACTGCTGACCAAGGAACCGAGCAACACCAGGCAGGTCAATCCACATCGACCTCCTACCTTCCTAATCCTGGCGCTGCTCCATCAGGACGTCTTCGACGCGAACATCGTCGTCCGGGGTATCTTCGAGACTACATTTAGGGGGGAGGTGTGTCGTGTACTGATCTGTTGTGGCATGCCGGCCGCGAGACAGTGCGACGGTCCACACGAGCGCCGGCCGCTGCGCGAGCAGGCCTCCTTCCGCGTGCCCCCATTCGGTTACGGCTACTCGACCTAGAGCACGTACACAACGTACATGTACAAATAACCCCTGTTCCTCCGTGCCTGACGCACCCGACGCCTCGAGTGGACTACATTACAGAAAGAAATTAGTTACATTACTGAATTACTAGCCTAGAGAGTTCATTAGATTACTCATTGATTTAAAACGTAATTTAATTACTGTAATTTCATTACAGTAATGTCATTACCGCCATCTCTGGAACCAGCACAAGCTTTCATTGCCATTAGCGAGCTGAATATGGCTGAGCTGCTCGGTAGCGGCAGCTCCCGTGTAGGCCTTGCGATTCACGACTTGCATGTTGGAGGGAGCTTTTAAAGTCTCCATAGCAAGCAATGGTGGCGCGAAAGCTCCGAGCAGTTGGAGTTCCTCTATAGGTTGGCTACGGGAGCCAGAGTTGCGTGTTCGTTTTCCACGTGCCACCGCGCCGCTATTCGCCGATATCCCATCACGTAAGGAGCAGACTCATATGCCATGCAGGAAAGTAGACATTGCGCGCGCCCCGGTGTACGCTCCCCGTTTTCAGCGAGCTTCCGGCTTCGAACGCGCGGCGTCGATATTCGCCGAATTCAGTGACGTGAGGAGCAGAATCAACAGGCCGCGCAGGAAAGACGGTGGTACGGGTATGAACACGCAATTCTGGCTTCCGTAGGAAGCCTATACAGGAACTATACAAGCACTGGTATTGCAGAGCGAGCAGCACAAACCTCCGTGATTGTGCTGGAGACTCTCTGCCTGAGGGTTCGGCGTAGTTGGCGCGATCTCGCGTAGCGAGATGCGGTGGTGTCCTTTAAACAGTCGGAAACGATCTCGCATAAATACATCATCTCTTTTCCAGAGTATGGCCAAAAACCGGATTATAAGCCTAGTGCAACTTCTTACTAACTGCACAGCGGTATTACCAATTGTAAGCAGTCGCAAGTAATTGAAATTTGTTTTTGCCTTGCCGGTCACAGGCAGTCACAAGTTTTTGAAGGAGCCATTACAAACATTTCAATTCATTTAATTACTGCACCTAAAACGGGATCAGTTTTGAGCGGTCAAAGCAGGATCAATTGAGTT